ATGGATTAGAGACTTAAATGTTAGACCTAATACCATAAAAACCCTAGAAGAAAACCTAGGTAATACCATTCAGGACATAGGCATGAGCAAGGACTTCATGTCTAAAACACCAAAAGCAAAGGCAACAAAAGCCAAAATTGACAAATGGGATCTAATTAAACTAAAGAGTTTCTGAACAGCAAGAGAAACTATCATCAGAGTGAACAGGTAACCTACAGAATGGGAAAAATTTTTGCAATGTACTCATCTGACAAAGACCTAATATCCAGAACCTACAAAGAACTCAAACAAATTTACAAGATAAAAACAAACAGCCCCATCAAAAATTGGGCAAAGGATATGAACAGACACTTCTCAAAAGAAGACATTCATATAGCCAACAGACACATGAAAAAATGCTCATCATCACTGACCATCTGAGAAATGCAAATCAAAACCACAATGAGATACCATCTCACACCAGTTAGAATGGCAATCATTAAAAAGTCAGGAAACTACAGGTCCTGGAGAGGATGTGGAGAAATAGGAACATTTTACACTGTTGGTGGGATTGTAAACTAGTTTAACCATTGTGGAAAACAATATGGTGATTCCTCAAGGATCTACAACTAGAAATACCATATGACTCAGTCATCCCATTACTGGGTATATACCCAAAGGATTATAAATCATGCTACTCTAAAGACACATGAACACGTATGCTTATTGTGACACTATTCACAATAGCAAAGACTTGGAATCAACCCAAATGTCCATCAGTGACAGACTGGATTAAGAAAATTTGGCATATATACACTATGGAATACTATGTAGCCATAAAAAAGGATGAGTTTGTGTCCTTTGTAGGGACATGGATGCAGCTGGAAACCATCATTCTCAGCAAACTATCCACAAGAACAGAAAACCAAACACCATGTGTTCTAACTCATAGGTGGAAACTGAACAATAAGATCACTTGGACACGGGAAGGGGAACATCACACACGGGGGCCTATTATGGTGAGGGGTTGGGGGTCGGGTTGTAATGATAGTTATACCTGATGTAAATGACGAGTTGATGGGTGCAGCATATAAACATGGCAAATATACACATATGTAACAAACCTGCACGTTGTGCACATGTACCCTAGAACTTAAAGTATATTTTTAAAAAAAGATTTTAAAATTAAAAAAAAAAATCTCTAACCCCTGATCCACTAGGGAGGCTGATTTGAGTAATAATATACCTCCGTCCTCCTATTTGGCAGACTTGGAGTCATTAATATCTTTCTTTACTGCAAATCACTATCTGGATTAATTGGTTTTGTTTGTGCAGGAGGCCAGAAGAACATGTCTGGCAATTATAAGAATGGATGGAGGAGCTGCCTATCCCTGTCCCACGGTCTTGTGCACAGATCAGCCTCACAAAGGGACAGAGCCCTGGGTGGGGATACAGTGGAAGCTCATTCTCTTAGTGACTTGTGGACATTGGCTCGAGATGAAGCCTGGTAGGAGTGGAAACTCCAGGTCATTTCTATGCCTTTCCTATTACCTGGGAGGTGGACCATTCCACAGTGTTAGCAGGAAGGAAATAGAAGTCAGCCTAGTTAGAGGGAGTGTCTGGGGAAGACCTAGGGGTGGAGGAAGAAGCTGTGCAGGACAGGACTTGCCAGTTAGAATGAAGTGGGAGGAAGATGAGGGACACAGAGAAGCAGAGAAAGGCAGAGACAGCATGGCAGTGAACAGTGGGGGCTACAGTGACTTCAGAGACCCCAGGGACCAGGTGCCCCCATTTCCACAGTCCAGGACCAGGGAGCCCTGAAAACCCTCCAGTGGCCAAAGGGTTTCAACTTACATGAGGTGGGGTGTCTTTAGGGGCAAGAGGTAGTGGGGGGATGAAACATGGGTGTCAGCCTCTGAAGGACAAGGGAAAGGTGTGGCCTAGACCTCCTAGGATTCTGCATCTGAGATCCAGTCTCTAAAGAGGTTATGGATCATTCATTTCTTCATTCAATTCCTCCATTTGTTATGTGAGAGCACCTGAGTGTGTGTCTCTCACTGGGCCCGTGTTGGTGCAGGGTGTGAGTGGGGAAAGAAAACAAGGTCCTGTTCTTTATCCTGTCATGCCAGTGACATGGACACTTTGGGAAACAGGATTTCAGGTTCAGTGATAGGGGTTAAGATCTGAGGGGGAGGCTTGGACATTTTTTGCATTGACTCTGACAGTTGAGGCAGGTGATTTAGTTCTGGAGAACAGACTAATCAGCTGACCATTTGCTCTCACTCCTCTGAGGTTTGGATGCCGAAGATGAGAGGATTTGAGCCAATAAATGACTACGGGACCCTTGGAACCCAGTAATTCCTCACTTCTGGTGGAGGAGAGGATGGGCCTGTGGCTGCAGACACACCTCATGTGACCCTGATCTGCCTTTTGTGTTTGTGTGACTCTGGTTCAGTGACTGTGCCTTCCGGTGCCTCAGTTTTCTCTCAGTCAAATAAGCTAAATAGTGAATGGACTGTGGCTTTTCATGCTATCTGTGAATAAATTGTAAATTCTTCACAGTCACCTGATCAAATGCTTGGTACAGTGGAGGTGTTCACACAAACAGCATTTATTATTATTCACTTCCATGAGAGAGCAACTTTAGGTCAGATCCTTGTGGATAAGTTGCTGCCAAGTACATTTTCTCTCTTCTGTTTCTGCTTCTGGGGACATTAGACTTTCTATGGAGTGTCCTAAGCCTCACAAGGCAGTTGGCCTATGGCCTACAAAGCTTGTCTTTCTGTCCTCTCCACTCTGAGTCTCAGGTGAAGAAAGCTCTGTCCTTGCCCAGATGAGGCTCTGAGGGCTGAGCCCTGGCTGGTGAGCAGCTCCAGGAGACACAGTCCTCAGACAGCTGGTAAATCCTTGGTCCCAGTAAGCCCTGCCACAACTCAGCGCTGGCACAGGCTCCTCAGCTTTATCTGGAGTAAGGATTTAGGGACGGGGTCTGGTGTTGAGGTTTCTAGGGCTGAGCTTCTCTGAGAGTATCTCAAGGGGCCTCTTAGGCAAAGCCCTACTCAGTTCTCCAGGGTCTTTCTCAGGGTCAAGTTTATGAAGAGGGCAGGAGGTGCTTGGCTGAGACTGATCTCCTCCTGCTGAACAGCTCCCCCCCCATCAGACTGTCCTTCCTGTGCAGCAAGTGTCTACAGGGTCTGGAGGCAGGAAAAGAATTCTGATCTGCTGAGGTTTGTCTCCTCTGTGTGTGTCCTGCACTAAATGCCGGAACCGCAACATGGGACATAATGCAGAGAGGGACACAGGCAGTCCAGGCCTGACAATCCTGTGCGTGCAAAGTAGAAGTGACCCCCACCCCTCAACACCCAGGGATCATGTGGAATCACTCACGGTATAAGGTGAAATGTCCAGTTACTCCTTTAGTCCCATCACCTCGTTTTGTGATTTGAATGGTGTAGGATCCTGTGTCATTCTTGGTGACATTCTGGATCAGCAGGGATGCATTGGAATATACTGTTTCTCGTCCACTGTATGCAGGCCCAAATATAATCATTTCAGTGTCTGTTGTATATGCTGCAATGTAATGCTGGAGGTCCATTATTTGCCCTTTGTACCAGCTGTAGCCAGTAAGATTCTCGGGCAAATTGTAGACAAGTAGCAGAACATCCTTCCCCTCAGACACTTTGGTTGGCTGTGCTTCAATCGTGACTTGGGCAGTGGTAAGCGGGTTCCAGAAGATTAAAAGTGATGCTAGGAGGTGGAGAGAGCATCAGTCAATATTGAGACCTATGTATTGGGGTGAAAAGATGGGGCCCTGGGTCCTGAGAAGATCTCTTCAATCATCAGCCTTGTAGACACACACACACAAACACACACACCCCTCTTTGTGTGTATGTGTGTGTATTGTGTTTTTGTCCTACTGTCCTACTGGGTCAAGGTCAGCAGCACGACCCCCATTCATTCAACACTTCTGACCTCGGCATTTTTCTCTTTGAAATCCTCTTCCCCAGGGATCTGCATGGCTCCCTCCGCAACACCCTCAGGTCCTGCTCACATCAGGGCATCCTTAGACTTCTTTCCTGACACCTCCTTCAGAGACCCTGGGTCTTCCCTTTCTGACCTTTCCCTGCTCTGCTCCCTCCGGAGCTCTTGTCAACACCTGATACCACATTCCAGATCTCTTTGCAGGTCTGTCTTCCTGCCCATGAGAGCATGAGCTCTGTAAGGACAGGGACGTTTGTGATCTTGGTTGCACCCCGGTGCCTGGGACAGGCTGCAGACTCCTGCAGATGTGAGGGTTCCCAGGGACCTCCCAGCCAGGGCTATTTTTTTTCTTTCCCCTAATTGTTGAGGTATTTTGCTGAGGACAGTGTTTCATGTCCTGCTTATATTTTCATTTGAAGTGTCATCCGATAATAATTATTATCATTTTTCAAAATATGGTGGCCACTGATGATTAACCAGGAGAACAGAACACTTGAGATTTTCCTACCTATTACCAATTCCAGTTCAATGTGATTTTTCTGTTGTGACCCTGTCCCTATCTGGTATATTTTCCCCAATCCAGGCTCCAACAGAGCCTTCTTTCCTTTATTTATTTATTTATTTATTTTTCTTTTTGAGATGGAGTCTCATACTGTCTCCCAGGCTGGCATGTAGTGCCACGATCTTGGCTCACTGCAACCTCTGCCTCCCAGATTCATGCAATTCTCCTGCCTCAGCCTCCTGAGTAGCTAGGATTACAGGAGCCCACCACCACACCTGGTTAATTTTTTCTGTTTTTAGTAGAGACGGGGCTTCACTGTGTTGATCAGACTGGTCTTGAACTCCTGACCTCATGATCCATCCACCTCAGCCTCCCAAAGTGCTGGCTTCTTTTATTTTTTAGAACCCCATCCTCTCCAGGAGACCCCATCCAATCATTCTGCTTCCTCCTCCTGTCCTCTCCCAGGAAGTTCTCTCCTCACCTGTGAGTAGAAGCTCCTTCCAGGTGATGTGCAGTGTGTAGGGAGGCACTGAGAGGGGCCCCATGGCCTCTTCTGCCTGTGTGTTCTCCTCTGTGGAGATGAGTCTGGGATCCAGAATCTTTCCGAGCACAGCTGTCAGCTGTACTGTCCTTCCTCCTTCTGTGCTGAGCCTCTTCCCGGGGCAGGAGCACATCTCAGGCTTATGGGCGGGGTCTGTGCCCAGGTCACCTCTCTATTCCCTCCCCTCTCAGTCCTGCCTCTTTGTCCCTTCTTCTCTTCTTCCTTTTGTCTGTGTGTCAGGTCCCTGGGAATTGTGGAGGCCTCTGCCTTTTTCAGCAGTGATTTTGTCACCAAACCTCGCTACACACTATGTGCAAAACCACAAACATACACACAAAAGAGACGCATACAGACACACAGAGTCACACACATACTCTGTAGGTTGGGCAAGCACAGTTCTGGGCCTCAGCCTCCTGCTGTCCCAGTGGCTCTTGGTCGGCGTGCATATTCACACCCCTTGCCCTCTTTCATCCCCATCTGGCTCTCCCCTTCAGTGCAGGAGGCTGGAGCTGCATCAGGTCCCTGTTATCGGGACACCACATTGTGCTGTGGGTGAGCTCCGTGTAGCCTGGTGACAGGGACCCTTCCTTTCTATAATTGTGTCTCGCTTGGCTGCAAATTCCAAGGATGGACATTCATGACCTGGGTGTCCCAGAGGAAACTGTCCTTCCTGGAGGTGTGCAGGGTGAATCTCTTATGCCTCTTCTGAGGAGAGGCATGTGCTGGTTGCTTAGTGGGGGCTGTAACTCCCATGGTGAAAGGGACAGTTCTCAGTCACTCTGTTGCTCCCTTGGGACTGGTGGATGGGTTTCTCATCTCTTCCTGACCATCTTTGGTATCCTCTCTTCCCTGGGTGTCTGATTGTCCTGTGGTCACCACACCTTCCCCGTGGTGATGCAGGAGGAAGTGGGGAGTTACCCAGGAACCCGGTGGAACATGGCTCGTTGAGATACGGAAAGGAGAGCCTGGGATAGAGCAGGGATTCAGAGCTGGAGAGATTCATCCAGACTTACTCCGTGGACGTGATGGGCTCAGTCCTCCGTGTGCTGACATACCCAGGGGTCTGTCCTGAGGGTTTTGACCTGGCCAAGATGCTCTCTGTAGAGGAGGAACAGGCAGTCACCAGAGAGCCTCTCTGGAGGGACATCGCTCACACCTGAGAAGGCGGGTGGGGGTGAGTTGTGTTCTCAGAGCAAAGAGCAATAATACCCTCTTCTCCCGGCAGGGACACAGGAGAGGTCTGCTTCCCAAGGGACAGCCGGGGGTAGGTGGACACATCCTATGTGTTGCCTGTGTGTGACCGTCACAGGCGCTCTGAGCCCCATGGGGTGCAGCGGGCAGGCAGGTCACAGGGTGCCTGACTGATTCCCGGGGAGGCTGTGGGCCTTCAGGCAGCAGCTGTTCTCTGTCAGCACTAGGCTTGGCCTAGGATGACCCATAGAACAGGACAGATGGAGCAGAGGCGGACATTTAGGGAGCAGTGACAGAAAGAGTTGATGAGGATGGAGGGAGGTTACAAGGGGAAAGTGCGCAGTGTGGCATCGCGTGCACCAGCGCTGCCCTAGGAGATGTCTTTTTAACTGAGCCCAGGGAAGGAGCAGGTGTGTGGGGCAGGAGCTGCCGGCAGAGGGAGTGGTGTTAGGTTGGCGGACGCCAGATCAGGGAGGAGCTGACAGTGTCCGTGTGGGGAGCATGGAGGACGTTGAGGACTTGGGCAGAGGTGTCCTTGGTGAAGGTGGACCCTGCTTGGCTATGGGTTCTGCTGAGGGACGTCCGCATCCCCTGGGAAGGCTCCAGGCTGGAGGGACTCTGCCGCCCTCTGGTGGACTGGAAGGGAAGTGTGGGTGGCCGAAGTCCCAGGCCAGGCTACGTGTTTTATTCCGCAAGGTTCTGCACGTTTCTAACGAGGTCACACATATGCTATGTTACAGTTCCATCACCTTCCAGTCCTGTGAGTTCCAGTCTCTCTGGCTCTACGTTCACTGTTCTCCCTCTTTCACGATCGGAGGTCCCGAACGCTGATTTTTGTCACCTTCTGTGAGTTTGTGTTTGTGTGCAGTAGGCGGCACTGTGTATATCCTGGGGGCAGTGATGTCTGGGGCTGAGCACTGCACATGGGCTTGGGAGCAGAAGACGGAGCAGCAGGGTAGGAGGATCAATGCCAGGGGAGCAGGGACAAGTTATTTTCATTTTCTCACTCCCAGGGACCAGAACCCAGGATTCTGACTCCAGGGCGCAGTACCACACCCTGCTGGTGTCCCTGGATGTCAGGAGTGCTCATAGTGTCATGTTGCCTTGGCATTCACTGTTTAAGGTGTAAATTTATTTGCCTCACATCAGAGGCAGGCTTTGCTCACCATGGCAGTTTTCAATACTGTATCTGGTTCAAGTGACTGCAGTTGGTGGCCAGCGATAAAATCTAAGAGGCATCTCTCCTGCTTGGTGTGCTGGGCTCCTCTCTCTCCATCTGATTTCTTTAAACTGATATTCTGACATTTGCCCTTACATTTAAAGTGACCACTTCTCAATCACAGCGTGATCTCCTGGTCCCAGTGTTTGCTACTTGCTTTAAACACATCCATTAAAGCTCCCTACTGGAAACCTGTCAGATAACACCTGGACTTACAAAAGACATCGGCTTACAGTTCTCTTCTCTCCTCCCTGCCTGGGCTCACTGACCTCTGTATCTGTGGTCTCCAGGTGTGCCGAGTGCTCCCCAGTGTCTGTAAGTAGTAAAAACACTTACACTTTCACGTTGTGGTTGTATCATTATAGCCTCACATGCCATCCAGGGCCTGACATCGAGGCTGCCCTATGGGACCTGTGCTGGTTGAACCCCTGCTGGAGCTCTTGTTTTGGGACCTGCAGTTCTTCTGGGGGCCGGAGCTTCCAGCTAACTTGATTGAAAAACTGGTACGTTTCATGGAAAACACTGGGTCAGATGATGTATTCATGGGCTTCAGCTGCCATAACAAACACCTTAGCCTGGGTGAATTAAATAATAGAAATCAATTTTGCACAGTTCTGTGAATAATGTGCTATTTTAACCACTTGAAAATGTGCAATCAAATGCAATTAACCACATACACAGTGTGAAGTTACCATCACCACTATTTTTCCTAGAAAATTTTTATCATTTTAAACTGAAACCTTGTATAATTAAAACTATAATAACTCCTTGTATTTTCCACCCTAGACCTTGATCATCTCTACTGTGTCTCTGTGAATTTGCCTATTCTTGATGTTTCATATAAATGGAATTATATATATATGTTATTTAGTTTCTGACATATTTCACTTAGCATAATGTTTCCAAAGCCCATGCATCTTCCAGTGGATGTCAGAGCTTCATTCCTCTTTATGGCAGATTAACATTCTGTTGTATGTGTGACCACATTTGTTTATTCATGTGCTGATGAACACTTGGATTGTTTTCATATTTTATCTTTTGTGAGTAATGCTACAACCAACATTCCCATGCGAGTACCTGTTTCAGTGCCTGGATTCAATTCTTTGGGTATATACCTAGGAAAGGATGCTGTTTCATATGAGAATTCTATGATTAGCTTCTTGAGGAACAGCACAACTGTTTCTCCTAGTGGTTGCACATTTTTATAATCTCACCAGCAATGTATGAGGATTCCAAATTCTACATAATGCTTTCAATTGTTATTTAACATTTGAAATGAATGGTAGCCATATTTGTAGGTTTAGTGTGGGATTCCATTGTGGCTTTGACTTTGTATTTTCCTAATGACTAATGATGTTGAGTTTCTTTTCATGTCCCTCTTGATGATCTGCATATCTTCTTTGAAGAAATGTCTATTTGCGTCCTTTGCCCATTTATATAAATTGAGAGGTTTGTCTCTTTGTTATTGAGTTGTAGCAGTTCTTTATATATTCTGGGCATGAAACCATTGTCTATGTGATTTGCAACTGTTATGTCTCATTCTGTGTTTGGTCTTTTTATTTTCTTGATAATATCCTTTGATGCACAAAAGGCTTGCATCTTTAGCCAAATTTATCTGTTTTTCCTTTTTCTTTCTCATGCATTTGGGTCATACCTGAGAATCCATTGCACATTTGAGGTCATTAAGTTTTACCCCTATGTCTTTTTCTAAGATGTTCTTGTGGTTACAGATTTTAAACTTAACTCACTCATCCACTTTAAGATAATTGTTTGATATGGTTGGAAGTACAGTTCTCTAAGTTTATTGCTTTGCATGTGGTTATCTAGTTGTTTCTGCACCATTATTTGAGAGGATGATTGTTCCTCCATTAAATTATCTTGACACCCTTATTCAAGAGAAATGAACTATAAGGGTGAGGGTTTACTTGTGGACTCTCAATTCTATCCCTTTGGTCCCTATTTGTATTCTCATGCCAGCAGCTTCTGTTTTTAGTACTTGTAATGTTTTGTGAGTTTTCAAATAAGAAAGTTCAAGTTCTGCAATTTATTTTGGCAAAATTGTTTTGGCTCTTTCAGGGGTACTTTTTTAAAAGCAAGGAGGTCAATGTTTTGCAATTGAAAAGCTTTTTCTGTCGTATTTCGGGGAGGAATTTTGCAATCTAGGGATCTTTTCAGGAACTTTATCACAAGTAGGCAAATTATCTCCACTTCCTTTGCTGAAGTACTGGGTTGAAATGTGTGTTGCCTCCCGTTGAGGAATTGAGAGACCCTGGAAGCACTTGCTTATGTGGTGAGAGACAGTGAGCTCCTTAATGAGAGGCACAGAAGACATTGCTTTGGGACGCAATGTTGTCAGGGGAGCTGTGTGCCTCTCTACTTCTTTAATTTTTGTGCAGTTTAGATCTCTGCTGGACACACTAGATATTGAAATCTTTGTTCATTCTCTTGGTTCTGGGTTGGCTGACCTGTCAGCTGGAGCTGGAGGACATGCCTGGAAGGGGAGTGAACCCCATGGGAAAGAACAGGGTTCAGCAGAGTGAAAGCAGCTGGGACCCAGAGAAGCCAGTGAGGTCTGACTCTTAAAAGCCAAAGAC